GAGGCATTATTCAAATGGGTTGTAAAATGTTTAAAATGTTTTGAAAAATGCTACTTTTGTTTTTCCTGACCTGCTCTAATCATAAATAGGAAGAGTCTCTTGGCTACAAGAAGTTTTGCCCATTTAAGATTAAAAAAGAACATGGCTATGGAATGATGATGTCCATGTATAACAATAAACTCAAGCACCATTGATTTCGTCTCAACATTATAGTGACAAAAAGGGCATTTAAACCTACCTGTGACTTTGGAAACCACGAATGAATTTGAAGGTTTATGTTTACTGAAAAGCAAAACAAGAAATGTGTATACATATTTCATTGACCTTTAAAAAAATAAATGCACCACAGTTACTTTAAGATCTACTCTCTATTGCTTGTAAAAATATAATATATGGGTTTATAATAATAATAATATAATATATGGAGATATACCTATCTCATAGAACTGGAAGGGACCCTGAAAGGTCATCAAGTCCAGCCCCCTGCCTTCACTAGCAGGACCAAGTACTGATTTTGCCCCAGATGCCTAAGTGGCCCCCTCAAGGACTGAACTCACAACGCTGGGTTTAGCAGGCCAATCCTCAAACCACTGAGCTCTCCCTCCCTCCCCTGTGGCAAATGTGGACAATAATTTATTGTACAAGTCATGGTCCTCCATACACAGAGGTACATTTTCTCAGGGAAGAATTACCTTAAAGATTCAACGCCATTTCTTGTAGACTTGACAAAAAGAGGTGATCTCCCTTTCCTAGTGATGTCAACCAGACCTCCTTTATCATCTATGACGCCATAATGAATTGCAGCACGACATATACTGGATGCCTGCAAAGCACATAACAAATAGTATGGTGATACCAATGTTTCCTAAATAGTTCTAAGCCAAAAAGAAGCATTTAATAAACAAATATATAAAATAAATACTTAAAGACTGGAGTTTACACAGACTTACATTTACTGAACAAATGCTGCATTGGTTCAGCATGCTGAATTTTACTATTATAACACATGGGTATGTATTTTTATTCTAAGTCTTACTTGATTTAAGGACAAACATGGATTTTTTAAAATAAAAAATATAGTATTTAAATGTAAACTATAAGGAGAGCTGGTTGGAAAATGTCCCCCGCCTGAGGAAAATGTTGAGCTTTCAACAAAAACATCAGATCTGAAATATTTCAGCTGAAACCCACTTGGTGAGGGGAGGTGGTGCATCATGGCAGTTCTCTGGCCACAATACAACATGGGAGATGCAATCTGGAGGGAAACCCAGCCCATAGAGAAGAATTGGGGTACTAAGCAACTGAACTACAACTCCCATGAGGCATCTGCAGCAGCATTTCAGCTTCAATATATGTGGGGCATTTTTTATTTTTGGGGGGGGGGTAAAAAAAATCAAAATTTTCATCAGAAAACAGACACATTTTGTAAATACAATAATTAATCAAACCCCTGGTTTTCCATCAAAAACAGTTTTGACAGGAAATTGTTGACCTGCCCTAATTATAAACTATTTTGACAATTCAAGATTCAATGAGTCACCCTAAAAATAAAAACCCAGAGTCCTGTGAACCATCCTGAGAAGCAATTCTAATATAAAGTTTCTCTTCCATCCCAATAGCTCATTGCTTTGAGGGATAGATCTTGAAAGATGCCATGCACTCCTGTGACGTACAGGCGGGCCCTCAACTTCGGTTGAACTTTGTGGGCATAGAGGACACTCAGAACCAAAATCAAGCTCTGAGTAGATACTCTTTTCAGCACTGATTTTATCACATAGATGGGAAAATGCAGATTACCTTTTATATAGACAGCACCAGTACAGTTTACAGCACTAACATGGGAGGGCAGAAAATCTACATTACATTAGAATTGCCAGCATTTTCCATTTCTATTATTACCATTAAAACCCCAATAAATGTCATCTATCAGCCATAGCAAAGTACGTACAGTCTCATAATACAACGTTCCAAAGATTTTTGCCTTGCTGTTCACGCAGCCAGCTGGGCACAGATACCTAGTTAAAGATATATATATTTATTTATTTATTTATTTATAGTGAGTGTGAAATGTGAGTCAGACTTTTATTACATTTAATTTAATTTTAATGACATTAGTGTCATTTAACTACTCCATTTAAAACAAGCATTGCAAAACAGCCACGTTTTCTAATACCTTTCCCCTTAAGAATGAGAGCAATATTTAGATTCTGTGGATTTGTTATTCTACAAGCGATAAACTTCAGTGTACCCTTACTGAGACCTTAACCAGAGCTCTTGACTTCCTGGGTGGGGACAAGCTTTGAACTGATGGGCTAAGGTTGGATGGGAATGTAACACAAGAGGAGTGCACAATGATTGTGCCAAGGTTTACTAAATGGGGCTGGCCACCTGGGAGCTGTGGGTTATCATAGCCGTTCACCATTTCGAGCATTAAGTAAATGGAGTCACCTTACTGCTAAACTTGGCCGAATCATTTGTATTAAGAGGAATGAAAGGACTTTTTTCATAGGGATTTAGACAGCATTTGGATTCTAGTCACAGTCAATAGAACCCAGCCCACTCCATGTTTGCAAAAGCCAGCCAGGTTTAAGGTGGCCATTTCCATGACCACTGCAGCAGAAGTCGATAAAACGCTACCTGTTGCATGTTGATCCTTTGCATTTGTCCCTCATTTTGGTGTCGCACTTAATGACCTGTGCTAGAAAAAAAAGGAGGGGGTGGGGGGAAGACATAAGAGACGAGAATGCAAGGAAAAAACTGCCCAGAGATAAGTGGTCAACTTGCATTATAGTGATAACTCAGGTACATGACATGGTCTCCAGGACTACTTCTGTGTGGGAAAATTGAATTCTTATCACAGAATAACTGGGCAGTCGGGAACTTTTAACTCAGAACAATAAGCCTGAAGCAGTTTTACATCCCTCACCTGGCCACTTTATTGCCACTTTAGCCATTCCTTTTATCACAAAGGAGTCTTTGTAAATATTACCTTGGCAGAAACACTTGACACCAGAAGACTTCAATTTACAGCCTAAAGACAGTGCTTAGCACTCCTATCATCCACTTAATTATAGGCTACCCACATTCCAGTAGATAGACTTGAGAAGGATATGCTCACTTCCCTCAGCTCACTTGCAGTAGATCACTCTTTAAATTACAATGATTAGAAAAACCTTTAAAGAGATACTATCAATTCCATAAATATTTCAGCAGACCTTGCCAAGCAGAGTTGGCCCCCCTTCTCCCTCTGGACAAAATCCAGAAAGGATGTCAAGGTGGTGATTTTTGAGTTTAGAATAGTTCAAATGAGTAAAATAGTAAATCATGGACAATAAAATGCCTAGATATGAATATAATCTAGTGATCATGGCCAAGAATTTCTAAAGGTGCTTGGATACTATGACGACGAGTGTGATAGAAGAACCAGAACAGACCAACTAGTGATTTTGAGTGCCTCAATTCTTGGGCATCTAGCCCGAGATGCTGTAAAAGGGCCTACTTTTCAGGGTTGTCTGAACAATCAGGCCTCAAGTTGGACACACAAAATATTGCTTCCAAACAAGTTGGCCAAAAAAAAAAATCCAATTATTTTAACTAGCCCTCAACACAGGTTTGCACTGGAGGCTTCTTCGCATCTCAGTCCATATCCACACACGTGCGCACACACACTCCTACAAGGATATTTAAAAGCTTATAGGATGTGGAAGACAAAGAAGCTCTCTTACTCATGAAACTGTCCGCGGTTGTGGTGATTTTCTTGATCTTGGTTGATTTGGTGGGTTTGGTCACCCGTTCTTGCACCCACACATGTTTTTCCTCTGTAATTTGTGGGACCTCCACTTCGTTAGTCTCATCCCGCTCAGGCTTTTGTACGTAGTGGTCATCTTATTGGGTGGGGGGAGGTAAAACAGTATTCTGGCATTAATAGCAAAGTCAGACGAGCTGAAGGAGGACTGATATTTCATGGAAGATTCTGTTTGGTTTGACAAAGATCTATTTCTAAACGGCTGGAAACCCAACAAAATGCAAGTTAAATACAGAATGGGCCAGATTCCTAGGGTGGGTAAAGAACCAGGAAAAGAGGTCTGGGTTCATACCATTCATTTACTCAGCATCTAAAGCACGGCATAAAGAACTAAGGTGTAAGTGGTTGAAGTGATCTGTCACTATTAGTTAGAATGCTGATGAGTGTGTGTGAATGTCTTACAATTATTTATCATGCGATTTACCAGTACAGCTTTTACTCTATAGAGGAAAAGGTCAGTCCTCTAAGATAGTCAGGCATATTAATTGGAGACTGTCAAGAAAGGATCCTAACCAGTTAAATGGTCAGATGGCTAATGCCCTCCCTTTCTCGTGTAGGTTATCCTCCTCAAAACTACCTTCCTCATCCTCATCCTAGATTTATTCTGTCCACTCGGAAATGAAGGCCCTGGTAGTGTCATCATTGCTAGGTCAAATCAAGCTACATAGCATGCACTACTCATTTCTCCTTACTTTGCTGCAAAGTTAACGCTCTTGTGCCCTCTGAGGATACGTCTACACTGCAGGTGGACGCCCGCGGCTGGCTTGTGTCAGCCGACTCGGGCTTGTGGGGCTTGGGCTCTGGGGCTGTTTCATTGCAGTGCCGACTTCTGAGCCCAGGCTCTAGGAGGTGGGATGGTCCCAAAGTTCGGGCTCCAGCCCGAGCCCGGAAGTCTACACCCCGATTAAACAGCCCCACAGCCTGAGCCCTGCAGCCCCATGACAGCTGGCATGGGCCAGCCGCGGGTTTTTAATTGCAGTTAGACATACCCTAAAGTCCATAGTTAGGGAAAAAAGCTCCGAACTGGCACAAGCTAAATCCACTTCCCTTGACGTGTCCTCCTAGCCGAAACCTCACTTTGCTTACATCCCCAGCAATGAAGAGAGGAATGATATGGACAAACTGATGACTGATCTCGCAGAGGAATTTCTCCCTCCAGCTGTCCAGCCAGTGGTCTCATTCCATTCTCTCTTTTCTCTTCCCTATGGAAATACATTGCATACCTGTTTGCTTCCTCATTGCTCAGGCTACTAAAAATCAAGCACCTAAATTGATTTGGGCCCAAAATCTTTGCTTTGAACAAGTCTCCAGGGAGTTTGTCTGCATCTATGAAAACGGGCTCACTCCTTCACAGAGGAAAAGCCTTCTGTAGGTAAAGAAAGACGATACCATCGACACACAGCTCCAGAGCATCCTCTCTTTTAAATATGAGCAATTTCACTGATGGTTTTAGAATTAATAATAGTTTTCATTTACTAAATAGAACACCATGTATAGAGCAAGCCAAATGAGGACGGTATTGCTTATAGCTACGACATAGACAAGTCTAAATTCATTGGGCCAAACTGATCTCAGTTACACCAGGGTAACTCAGAGAAACTTCCTTGAACTGACGGAGTTACTCTGACTTTACACCAGTGCATATAAGCAGAATTTGAGCTCTAGGTTTTAGGGAGTTACATGGCATTTCTGCTTCAGACAGTCTCATATGGTACCTGCTTCACCTTATTGTGTATCAAGTATCAGAGGGGTAGCCGTGTCAGTCTGAATCTGTAAAAAGCAACAAATGGTCCTGTGGCACTTTTAAGGGCACGTCTTCACTACCCGCCGGATCGGCGGGTAGCAATCGGTCTATTGGGGATCGACTTATCGCGTCTAGTGAAGACGCGATAAAATCGATCCCTGATCGCTCTGCCGTCGACTCCGGAAATCCACCGCGGCAAGAGGCGGCAGCGGAGTCGACGGCGGCGCGGCAGCGGTCGACTTGCCGCCGTCCTCACAGCCAGGTAAGTCGACCTAAAATACGCCACTTCAGCTACGCTATTCACGTAGCTGAAGTTGCGTATCTTAGGTCGACCCCCCGCTGTAGTGTAGACCTAGCCTAACTAACAGAAGTATTGGGAGCATAAGCCTTGCATCTGAAGAAGTGAGGTTCTTACCCACGAAAGCTTATGCTCCCAATACTTCTGTTAGTCTTAAAGGTGCCCCAGGACCCTCTGTTGCTTATTCTGTATGTTTCAGAGTTAACCGTGGTGAATTGAAAGCATACAAATCTGTAAGTGCTTTTAATGAAAAGTTTCCAGAAACATTTCTTCTCCAATTTCTCCATACCACACAGAAAGGACCGAGGTGAAATCATCTGCATTTCCCCATGATGCACTGAGCTGAGAGAAATAGCTTATTGATCACCTACCTTTGTAACAGAGGTTGTTCTGGCAGCTTCCTCCATAGCTCGGTGGGCATTCAGAGCAGGGCCTGCCATTTTTATAAGGAGCTTCTCCAATCCAGTTCCCCCTGAAAAAAGCATGAGAGAATTTTTTTTCTGTTAAATAACCTCTATGCCACACACACAATTCTCTTACTTCACTTTCAGGCTCTATGTGCTGAGTCCTGCACCCCTGAGCCTCAAGGCCCTGAGGAATTGTGGGAAATGAATGTTTCCACTGTACTTCTGTGTTGCTAGATTGCTGTAAATATGGGAAAGGACCGCCAGTCTCTGATCTTTCCATGAACATACAGTCTGCAGCGTTCTCGCGATAACTCAGCAAACTAAGTAAACGCAGCACAGTACAGTAGTTTCCCTTCTGCTTCACAACTGGTTAGTCACAGACTGGTATTTGCCGTTAGCTCTCTCGTGTGTGTTCATTGAGGTGATCAGAGCCACAAGTCCACTATCATTTCTTTGCTCTCAAGATTATTCCATCAGCTACACAGGCCAGCATGGAACAAAATTCGTTTCCATTTAAAAGCTGTTCCATTTTCCAACCTGGAACTGCCTCCAAACAGAAAAACACAGGGCTTAGCCGGAGACATCAGAAATACTAGTCATGGTGAGCGCTCTAGACAACTTGCTGATGTCTCTAGACAACTTGTCTGGGAATATTTATCCTCACACCCTATTTTCTAATGACTCAAAACCCCCTCAGTTTTACCTCTGATGCCACAGCAGCATTCTCCACAGCTGTGGTAATCACTACAGACTGACTGAATGTTAGGCAGCTATCTCACATAAACTTTAAAGGGTCACCACTGCAAATCGGTTACTTTAAGGCAAAGGTTTCACCTCATTTCACTTCTAAAAGGCCTGTTTCAGAAGGGTGCATGTGTGTGTGTGTATATATATATTATATTAAACTTTTACATTAAAATCCTATGCAGATACTGCATTCATGCATTCTGCATGCAAGCAGAAATTCCAGAAGAGTCTTATATTTGAGCATTTGTCTATTCAGCAGTCCTGAACTGATGATACGCAAAGCAGTTCAACCTTCTCCTGAGAAGAAACATATGGTACAATCCTGCATGACTATGAGTTTCCTCAAATTCCACTCCATTCCGAAGGAGATAAAGGTGCGCAGTATCTCATGGGAGGGAGGGCTTACTGTTGGCCTATATACCCATAAGATTCCCAACGGATTTCACCACAACAAACTGTGATGACTATGTTCCCCCTAACCTTAACGCTCAGCAGAACTCAATGGAGTCTGCAATCAGAATACCTTCATGTATATATTGACTTCTTTCTCCAGACCTTTCAGTGTTGTGTTGCCTTTCTATAGCTGTATTCTAAACTCTATGCTCTCTGGGACAGGGGCGTCTTTGATATTTGTGTCTTGTGCTGCACAGGGCAGATTTCCAGGGCCTACCAATTAAATATGAAACAATATTAACATCAATATCAATTTGTGACCCAGGCCAAACCTCTTACTAAAATCTTGCCACAGATGCATTCATTCGAAGGTGTTAAATGTAACTTCCACTTCTAGAAGAAGCCCAACCCAAGACTGGCTCAATCCTGAATGCTTGAGTTACGTAACTGTAAGCTCTCTGGGGCAGAGACTGTCACTTGCTACATGTCCGTATAGAACTTAGCACAACGGGACCCCTGATTGAAATCTCTGCACCAGATTCTATATTTGTTAAGCAACTTGCCAGGATGCAGTTTTAAAAGCGTGGGGGGGGGGTTGGAAACATATTGTGTCTTCCTTACTTGGGAGAGTAGTTGCAGACCAGGTAGACAGCATTCTCCCAGATTTCTCCCCAAACACTCATCTGTTTGCAGACGTTTACAGCACAGCCAACCTTGTTTGTTGTGGCCCAAACGATCTGAAAGCACAACACAGACATTTTAAAAAACAGAATGCCACAAAAGGCACATTCGATCAAGCTTCCTGAGTATATTTTCCTAATGACTAGCATCTACATCTCCTCCTACCCCTGCAGACAGGCTGGGATACAACTTTTATAAGAAGTTACGCAGATGCCACTCTGTCTAATGCATATTCAGTACGGGTTTCTTCCTTATTTGTATTTCCTCATTCTATTAATGTTGAGGTGCCCTTCTCCTATAGGTTAGTATATTAATGATCTTAATTTATTATTATATACATCAATACATTGCCATGGCACTCTTGTGGTCAGACATCTGCAGAGTTTCTATCCAAAAGCTGGTATTAGCTCACATTCCTGTAGCTGGCTGGTGTAGTTATGGACAAAATTCCCCCAAACACACTCTATTTCCAGTTCCCCAAAACGCAGGAGGTAACTGTTAGGCCTGGTCTACACTAACCCCCCAATTCGAACTAAGGTACACAACTTCAGCTATGTGAATAACGTAGCTGAAGTCGACGTACCTTAGTTCGAACTTACCGCGGTCCAGACGCGGCAGGCAGGCTCCCTCGTCGACTCCGCGTACTCCTCACGCCGAGCAGGATTACCGGAGTCGACGGGGAGCACTTCTGGGTTCAATTTATCGCATCCAGACAAGACGCGATAAATCAAACCCAGAAGTTCAATTGCCAGCCGCCGAACCAGCGCATAAGTATAGACAAGCCCTTAGGCCGTTTATCTGTGCCAAAGTTCACAGGCCTCAAGCCTTGTGCTAACTGCTGAAGCCAACGTCGTACAGGATACAGGCCTGTAGGTGCTTTGCATTACTGCTGAATAAAATAAATGCTAATGCTGGTTTAATGCTGACAGACCCCGGTCGTTGGCGGGCGGGATCGAACCTGGGACCTCTGGAGCTAAATACGTGGGCCTCTACTGCATGAGCTAAAAGACATGCAGCTGTTAGCTAAAGCTGCAGAGCAGACTCAATCTCTCTCTCTAAGTGGTCTCGGTGCCACTAAATGGGACAGAACACCACACCCAGGAGGTGTGTGGGTTACACTAGCGCTATGGGCTACGCAGGGTGTGAGGGAACACATCAAGTTCAGACACAGAACTCAGGACTTCATGTTTCCTTCCTCTTCTTTACCTGGGTATAGTGAGTGCACATTGCTCCAGAGCATCTTTCTGGACACCAAGGGTCACATTCGTGGGGATACGGATAAGTATAATCTTTAACTTCGTCATACCAAGATTGGACGTGGAAGGCTGGAGAACGATACCTGAAAGACCAAAGATACATAACGAGCTGGATCGCTAACTAGAACTGTGGGTTTTCAACCCAACCCCAGCACGCCCACGTCCCCTTTTGTTAATATGAAATTCTCAATAATTTGGTACAGGATAATTGTAAAGTGAGTTCACAGTGCAATGTGGTGCCATCTTGGTAAGGAGCTGCAACTTTAACAAACAGAGGGGCCATAGGAAATTGTAGAAAAAGCCAGCGTCATATTTTGACTAATGACAAATCTCTGGTGTTTTACATGCAGGCAAGTATTAGGGGCTGTTTCTTTAAAATCCATGACCCAATCGGACATTCTGTAGTATTTATAGGTTTAGCTTTCTTTTCAAAAGCCGTTGACCTGAAACGTCCCCTTGGCTTTTCCACTCAATTACAAAAGACTTCAGTTTGGCAGAAGATTGTATTTTGAAAGTAAACATCAGCTAGAAATTGCCAAACATATTAAACGGAAAGTCATGTACCTATTTTACCACTAGACAATTCATTACATCTGGAAGTACACTCATGTCCTCAGCCGCCATGCAGTAGGCACGTGTGGTATGTGGTTTGGACGTGCAGCGCACTTGTAAATGTGGTTTGTGGCACCGTTGCACTGTGATCCGTGCTTCTGTTGTAAATGTCAGCAAAATTATGTAGACAGACACTCATACACACAGTGCCTGTGGTATACGATGGGCCCAGATAGCCTTTCACCAATTGTAACTAACAGTACCTCAAGCCGGGATGTAGCAATCTGTCTGGGATGTAAATGAGCAAATCACTGGAATCACAGATGTCATTATCAAGGATACTTTGCACTTCCATCATAACCTTTGTCTGATGACCTCAACATGCATTAAAACCATTAATGAATTCTGTGTCACAGTACGTGGTGAGGTAGGTAACATTGGCCCCATTTTACTGAGGAAATTGAGGTAGAGGGCTTATGGACCCAAACCTTCATGCACTGAAATCAATGGCAGTTTTCTCACTGATTTCAATGGGAACAAGATTGGGACCTACAGTACGTGATTAGCCCAAGGTCACTCAGGAAGTCTGTAGTGGAGCCCAAGTTAGACCTGGTCTCCTAACTCCCAGTCCTGTACGTTAACCACAAGATCGCCTCCTCCTTTGTTACTGCAATTTGTCCAAAAAAAAAAAATTGGGCCCAATTCTGATATCACATCAGTCTTACACTGAAGAAACCCCACTGACTTCAACTGAGTTTTACAATGGGCATAATCACAACCAAGCCAGTTAGGCAAATCTTTTCCTTTCATCATTAACCTAACAAAACACAAATTATGTCCTGACTCCCTAGCTCCTTTGTTTGTAAGAACAATTAAGACTTTAAAAGAAACACTAAATTCACCCTTAACATCGGCACCAGATGAGCTCCAATTTAGCCATTGGTTGAGCTCTCAACAGCTTATCTGGACAGCATCCAACGTGGTTCATTAGGCCAACAATGCTCAGGAAAATGATGACAAAGAAACAGATTGCCATTTGATGAGTCTCCTCAGTGGAAAGCACCAGATGGGTTCTTCTCACCAGGAGCTGGCCGAGCAATCCATGTGGATGCAGAAACACAATAATTTCCAAAGCCCCAGGTTTTTTTCCCGGGAGTATAAAACAAACTATTTGCTCACCTAGAATTACATGGCCATCTGCAAGCAAATACAAAGTGGTTGCAGTAAAGATAAATTGGGAAGTGAAAAGGGAAATATGGTGCGATGCACTTAGAGGACTTATAACAGTGTTCAGACCTAGTGGGAATGGCCAAAAATGGTTCCTCAGAACTTCTTTGCTGGTTAATGGAGAGAGCAAAGCTACGTGAAACAGGGGACTTGGGAGTCAGGGTCCTAGATTCTGATGCCAACTCTGCCACTAAGTCTCTGTATGACGTTGGGCAAGTCCCTTCACTTCTCTGTGCCTCACAGGTAAACCCACCAAATAGTGAGGTTTACTTAACATTTCCTAAGCATGTTGGGCACTGCTGGCTGAAAGGCCCAATAGATGTTATTACTGTATTAGTTTCACAGCTCCTTTTTTCCAGCTAGTCAAGTTCTTTTTATTAAATATTGACAAGACAAACCTCCCAAATTGTCAAACAGGGCGAGACCCAGAATGACACTATTAAACAGATATGGCACATTAGACACTCAGCGTTCCATCTCTTACCTGCCCCAATGAACAGCCAAATTCTGACCAATGGACATAATGAGGCTGGCAGGTCCATGATCCCAGATGCACTCCTGGGCCCAAGCCTCTGCAGATCTTTCCAGCTCATCATCCCAGGTCTGCGTGAGAATCAAAGAACAGATCCATTGACAAATACTCTCAGTCTGAAAACATCTTACATTAGACTTAGGTTATGCCTACGCTACACAGCGCTGGCGGCACGCAGGCTACGTGTAGCTACGTGCCGCAGTGAAAAGCAAGCTGTTTCCACACTATGATGTGTAGCTACACGTATCAATGAAAGACTCCAGCAGTGGGACGCTACATTGCTAAAAACAGCAGTGTAGACGGGGACACATGGCTCGGGTGAGTAGAGAGCCATGTAGGATATGTACTCAGGTACATACCCACCCCCTTCAGGTGTGTCTTTACTTGTCCCAGGTATGCCTCATGGTCTGCACTACTATTTATACCCACGTTAGAGGGGCTACCCATGTCCGTATTCTATACGCTGCTGAAAGAAGCATCCAGCAGAGACATACCTTAAGAACCAAGAGACGGGACCAGCAGAACCTATGAGGGTTAAGACTTGCACATGATCCCCAGCTCAGCCTCTCAGACCTAGTATTATGCAATGCAATTCCGGGCCCTGACCTGGGAGTGAATTCCCCATTTAATACAATGGAAATGCATGGATCCAGCACAAAATAGTCCCACTTTTCAACGTCTGGCATCGCGCTTCTTGGGAGATACCACATATGATCAACTCTAGTTTGGAGCTGCTGATTCTTCGGCGCAATGACGCGAATGTGGGGTGAGGGTCCAAACTTAACATCAGCATATTCCTCTCAACTACCCCTTTGTGCACAGCTTCAATGGGGAGTGTGTTGTTTTCTGAGCCGAGTGCAGTCTATCATGAACAAATTTGCTTAAAAGTGGATTTTTGAACATAGTAGATAGTGCTGTGTCGATGAATTTTCTTAATGTACCAACAGATCCTTCCATCTTCTTCCTAGCTTCACCAAGACAGGCAGCCACTGGGCCCAAACCTGTGAGGCGCTTTGCTCTCACAACTCTTGCAAAGGTCTATGAAAGCTGAGGGCACTTAGGATCCAGCAGATAGACAACTATGATGGCATCTGAGCAACTGAACATTTAGTAGGGTGACCAGACAGCAAATGTGAAAAATCGGGACGGGGTGGGGGTAATAGGAACCTATATAAGAAAAAGACCCCCAAATTGGGACTGTCCCTATAAAATCGGGACATCTGGTCACCCTAACATTTAGGGGCAGAGTCTGGCAGTTACATTGGGGCAATGCAGGGTCACACCATGCTGGCATGAGAGAAATGCAATGTCTCCTGGAGCTTACCTCACATACAGGGGGAGTATGACCACTATGCGCTCTCTATTCCAGCCATCCAGCTCCACTGGCCAATGAGGAGTGAGTAGGGGGCCCTGGTCATCCCTGCCCCTTTTTGGGTAACTTGTTGACTCAGAACAGAGACTACAACTGTGGTTGGCCCTTGTACATGGACACAAGACTCCTCATGGTCTGCCACTTTGTGCACCATATAAACGCCAGCCATTATCTGACCCTCTTCAAATCCAGTCTAAAGCCACAGAAGCTCTCACAAGATCCTAATGTTCCTAGTATTTCAGAGCTTTCCACCAGAGCCCTCCAGAGTGCAGCCTCAAAGGCAGTTGCTTTCCAAGTCTCCTAATTTAATGCAGAGACCATACGACATGAGCAATAGGCCACTAAATGGAAATTGACATGAACATATGTGCTACATCTTCCTCTGGTGTCTATGGATAAAACAAACCAATACAGGCAAGAGACACTCAATGAAAGACTGGGAACGAGCTCGGGGGTTTTTGTGTGGATTCATGCTTGATTTGGAGATGCTTGGTTCTGCCGGCATCAAATTACAAAACCATGCTATTTAAATTAGAGCTGCCATTTGCTTCTCTTTCAACATATGAATGCCTTCAGGAGACTGGAATGATTCCAAATGCAATAAATATATCAACAAAATAGACTTCAGACTGTTCTCTGAAGACCCCTTAATGCCAAATACTCAAATCAATATATATCTAAGATCAACATTAAAGCCAGAACTGCACTAACCAGCTACACTCACTGCGACTTATTTAAATTCACTCTTTGGCAAGCTGGAAGAGCCTGAGTCTAGCAATTTGCAGGGCAAGAGGCAAGACACATTAATTCAGGGGTTCTCAAACTGGGACCACTCAGGGGGTCACATGGTTATTACATGGGGAGTCGCGAGCTGTCAGCCTCTACCCCAAACCCTGCTTTGCCTCCGGCATTTATAATGGTGTTAAATATATAAAAAAATGTTTTTGATTTATAAGGGGGGTTGCACTCAGAGGCTAGCTATGTGAAAGGGGTCACCAGTACAAAAGTTTGAGAACCACTGCATTGATTGGTTTTAAGTGTCAGCTTAAATTTGTTTTTTCTTGTGTTCAGATTTTCTGTAACCTAACTGCCATACCAATAGGCGGTTGTAACCCAGAGAAAGTAAATACATATTGTATATTGGTGAATGTGACTGCACAAGTCTTCACTGTGGTGGATACTCTCCAGGAAATGGTTTAAAATGTGCTGGCGGTCAACATGATTCAAAACGGTTTGGAACACTTTTTACTTCTGGAGACTTGGGATAGTTTTTGAATGAAGTTAAGGACATAATTACACAAAACACATGCACAGTTTACCTAAACCATTATCGCAATTTGCACATGCAACTACAATAAGAGCATGCACAATTAGGCATGCATTTGCTCACCTGTCTTGTTTGTAAATGTGACATTCGGGTGGGAATGCTATTTTAACTCACACAAGTAATTGGCTAATCTCAACCAACTCCACTGCTGTGGCAGGACTGGTGTGGAACTGGAATAGCAGATATTCTACAAGGTGGTTTGAGGTGCATTGGCAGAACCTTGAACCAGCTTGCTTGCCCCACCTAGTAATACAATCCCCTCCACATTCATGATTAGTAATTTCACTACTTTTAATCACATAGAGTAAGACAGGTTAACTCCACATGCAAGGGAACTAAGATACTTTCCTTCTAGGAATACATGTAGCCCAATCATTTGTAGCCTGTTAATTTGTTGGAAAAATCCATTGAGAACTGACAGACAATACATGTGTCATCCAGCCCCTCTGGGCAAGGTAAGGTTTTTGATGTTCATTGCTGCTGACTAAGCCAACCTAAAGGTCACTGGTGTCTTAGAAGCTTCTGCTTATTTTTCAAGGTTTATTATCAATATGGAGCTTGTTTTGTTTTGGCCATAAGCCATCACCATTACTACTGTTCTATAATAAAAACATACAGTGGAAGTGTATGTACTAAAGTTGCAAGGTGGTTAGGGTAATTTTATTTCTGGCCAGCTTCATCTGGAAGAATGTATACTGTTCACATCTGGCCTAGAACAAAGCCTGCCAAAAGGGAGCCATGGAACTCATTTTCCATTAACACTGAATACCACTGTTAACCTTGAACTCCATTATCCTAACATAGTCAAGCAAAACAGCTTGCATTGCACTAGGTTACGGCTTTATTGAATTTCTATTCTCTCTCCACTCTACTGTTACCCCATCCTCAGACATTTTTTCCCTTTGCTTGAATCATTCTCTTGCTTCAGTTATATGTATAATTGCTCTCGAACAATAAAGAGTATATGTTGCTCAGCATACATATATGTTATTGAACTGGCTACATCATTTAATTTTGGTATATGTTGGATAATAATGACACAGCAGATGAATATCTCCATTTCCTGGAAAACATCAGCTCTCTGTGCAACTTTAGGTCATTTAAGTGCATCAGATATAGACATGGGATAATGGAGTTTCACAGCCAATACATGGATGCTGTTAGCCAAGAACCCATGTTCTACCTACTTATCCACAAATTAATGCCAAGTCTTCTCCTATGAAGAGTTTGCTACCGGCATCAAATTAAAAAAAAAAAATTAAAGCCTTTAGCCTCTCTCTTTCTGAACAGCACTGAAAACAGCCCATCATCTTAAATGAGCAAAGGCTGAGACGTGTTCAGTTTAAAACAAAGGATTAAAGTTAACTTCGTGCTCAGAATGCGTGCAAGGATTCCCGAGGAATATTAGGTAAACACATTAGGTAAACACAATATTATGAACACATGAAAGGCTGATTATAGTCTTTCCAAGTAGCACCATTTTATACCCAACTTCTTTCTTCACAGCATACCGGGCTCTTTCATTTGTACAAAGTCTCCCATAAAACCACTAGAAAAGCACCCTGAGCAAAGACAAACATCAACCAGTAACCATCCTGGACGAGTAAATAGAAGTCAGCCAGTGAACACTCCACTACTGAAGCACTTTTAGATCCCCAAAGCCAATGAAAATGCGTTTGGCTTTCTTGCATTGCTTTGTGTTTACTTTCTTGGAATCAATCAAGCCACATCTTCCCTTGCAGTATGTTACAGGCAGCCCGCAGAATATCCCAGTCTACTGAACAACAGGGATACAATAAAACAATTCTTAGGAAGGACTGTAACTCTCTCACTGACAAAGCAGCAACAACTAATAGCAAGGAACCTGGCACTCTTAAGGCTTATCTGAAGAGCTGATGTAAAAGTAAAGACAGATATAATATTGCCTTTTCTCCCTTACTCTTCCCTCCCTGTTCTCTTAAGGCAGAGTTTTACATTTATGGCATTCAGTCAAATGGCAAAAGGTATTATTAATAAAAGATGCCTTTTATATCACATGAATCCTTTTTACACACAGTCTCAATTACCAGCTCAATGAATGAATCCAGAAGAGACAGACTGTCAAACTGGTGCTATTTTTGCAGTAACAATATTTGCAGGAGAGATAAATGCACAAAAATTACCACCCTCTGTCGTTCTCTGATTCCACAATATTTTGAAGACGCCCCAGAAATAGCTCAAGGTAGGGCCCACGGCGCTGTATGGAAAGCTCTATGGTGAAAAGGTAGTCATCTTAATTGCTGCTGCTGGTAAAGACACACTTAACACTTTGACTTTTCAAGGGCTCTCTCTGAAGTGAGAGTACACATTGAGTGTATTTTGGTTCCTTGAGGTCAGGGGGAAAAAACACACCAAATACCACCAGTTCATCTACCACTGACCTCAATGGGAGGCTTTCTAAAGATTTTAACAGATTGGGCCTATATTGCAGATGGAGAAGTCCTGATCCTCCAAGGTGCTGAGCATCTTCAACTCCCATTGAAGTCAATGAGAACTGGTGGTGTTAGCATATCACCAGAGGCACTGGGCCATAACTACAGCAAGCCAAAGAACCCCAGCAAAGGTGTGATTACTGTAGGTGAGTAAATGCTTCCCAGAGATGGCTGGTGTGGCTTCTCTGTGCAGACAATGGCATTCCACAATGCCCGAGTCTTAAGCGGCTGAAGCTTCAACAGGGAGAATGGAGGTTAAATGTTAGGGAAAACTGGGTACTTGGATGACATTTAGGTATGGAATAAGCTGCCAAGGGAGGATGTGGAATTGCCATCAATGGAGGCATTCAGGGCTAGACTAGACAGTACTGAGGATGTTTTATGAATAATGAAATCAGTCCTGAAACTATGCAGTGGGATGGACTAGTTGACCCACTAATGGTCCCTTCCAACAAAAACAATTCAGTGGGATAAGATGGCTCCAGAAAACCACTAGCAGACTGTGTTACTGTCCTCTGGCCAGAAGAAAAACTGATGTGGTCACACAAATTTCAGTACCAATAGTTGAACTCACCATATATTCCATATTGGAAGCTGAAGGATAGACTTCACCTCTCAGCTTGTTATGAAGCATCAAAATCTCCTCTTTGTCTGACCTTGGAATGGCTCTCTTGGCTCTGGAGTGATATCTGCTCAAAATGCTCTCGAAGTGCGTGCCATTGGGCAAGAAAAAGCCTTGCGCTTCATGCATCAAAACCAGTAAACATCCAAGAGGGAGGAACCAAGACAGGGCAGGACTCATGGTCATTCTCTACTCAATGGAAGTCGAGATGAAGGAGATGGAAGCACTCTGGTTTTCTCAAAGGCAGCTCTACTGCTCTGTACAGATCTGGAATTCAAGTGGGAAACAAACAGTCACTTAATCTACCACTAAAGAACATTGACACCCCGTAGAATTTCCAAAGAGGCAAGGGGCCTTGGATTCAGATTCTTGCACAATAAAGGAGTGATGCAATCCTGAAAGTTAAACAAATTATTTTCTCTCCTACACAGCAGTGATGAACCTCAATGTTTCCCATGTCACAGATAGGATGCCCTATCCTATTTCCTTCTTAAATTAGGTATTATCTAGATTTCACACTGAATACTCTCTTTTTCCAGATCTATCCACTTCCACATACAATCATTGGGGTTATACGGACTAATTAGATATGCCGTTGCACATGAATTTTGCAAGGCCAACCTTTTTGCCTGCACCTACTTCCAGCATGCCCACCAAGGTGAGGAAAGAGAGTTGCATCAATGTTATGTGCTCATAACCTCTTTACAGCCCATTCCCCATGCAGAATCTAGAGGGACCCAATACAGCTTCAAAAATGGGTGGGACTATGTGGGGGCGGAGCACTGTCCGGACAGCCATGGAATGCCCATAAAGGCAGATGGGGAAAATTGAATTTTCCTTTGGAGTATATATAGATTCTCCTTTGAGGTGTAATTTGTATCCATTGGGGTGAATCAATGTCCAGGCCCTTAAACGATCACATAATCCAGGCTGTGCTTTTTCACGTATGCAGCGTGAGCAATGACACATTATTTCTTCCAAGTGTCAGCCTTAAAGGAGGAGAACAGATCCTAACAAAAGGGAAAGCAAACTTCCCCAGCAGCCAAGTCACAGAGGTCAGACATGAGCTACAGTTATTTCAGAGGCCTCTGCCTGCCAATAGACTCAGGCAGAGCCAGCTGCCAGCTCCCAGAATCTGTGTATGTTTATGTGAAAATGTCATCGTAATATCAGAGCAATCGAAATTCCGGTCTGCAAGTGACGCACTGGGGGGTTCTCGCTGACGCTGTTACTGCACTTAGCTGGAGACAGAAGCGCAGCCAGCTATATGAATTATTACAGATTAGGAGAGGAGCCGGAGTAGATTTCCCGGCCTCCTCTCGAATAGGAACCACTTCTGCACTGCTCGGTTGCCATGAGTCAGCCTGCCTTTAGTGGGGAGAGTTAACCAGAGGTGAATGCTGGCCCTAAATTTAAATGTGCTGACTTGATGGTTTGAATCTCCAGCCTTGATCATCCATGTCCTCAATTGCAAGGCCCCCTCTCTCCCTCTTCCTTCAGACACACCTGTAATCGTCCAGCAAATTCTCCACCCTGATTCTCATCATTAATAGTCCACGCTTAGTCCCTCACCTGAGAGCCATTTGTCTTGGCTTATATAGACCCTCGGCTGTCTCTTACTAGAGGTTTGTCCAGTTGGCTGTGATCGCAAGTGGGGCCGGTAATAGCTACCATCATAAGAATAATACGTAATATGGTTTAAACATTTACACTGCACATCTGACAGTGGAACTATCTAGTCCCCTCTTCATTAAACCAAAGTGGTAAATAAAAGACTTCCAGTGTTATTCCATGATGCTTGCAATAGGGGAACCACCATGCCAACGGGAACAACTGTACATCAGGGCAGCTCTACAAAGAGGGAATATTCCAAGAGATGCAGCCTTTCCCAAGTCAAAACTATCCCTAATGCTGTCATTTTAAACATCCTTTTGTGTAATGGCTGTTAGAGCCCTTTCCTGAATAGGCCCCCCAAATATTTTCTTTAGGTGATGGTTCTGCAGATTTCACTGTTTAAACTTACAGCATTGCAAATTACCACTACATCTTCCCCCACTGGGTGTTTTAAAGCAGGGGTGTTTACAGCTTGATATTGTTAAACGTATTTGGAATAGGTGATTCATTTTCTTTCTTGCTGAGTGTTATGTCTCTAGGGGGGCAGCAGAACTGCTTTTGAGGGTGGAAAAACATAAATCAGAGCATGCTCTATATTTAAATCTAGAAATATTTTGCTTCCAATCTAATGGAAATGCAGCCAGGTGTGAACAACATTCTTTTAGGCAGGGGTACAGACACAGCACGCAATAATTCTGATGATGACGATGCTCAGAATGCAAAACATAAAGGGTCTAATTTTCAGAGGTGCTGAGCTCCCACAACTCCAGTTGAAGTCAAGGGAAGTGTCAACCCCCTGAAAATCGAGCCCAGGGCCTATGTCAGGGGTGACCAACCTGCATGCGGCTCTTCAGAGGTTAATATTCAGCTCCTTGCATAGGCGTTGACTCTGGGGCTGGAGCTACAGGCGCCAACTTTCCAATGTGCCGGGTGGTGCTCACTGCTCAACCCCTGGCTCTGCCCCCACTCCACCCCTTCCCCCAAGGCCCTCCCTGCCCCTTCCCCTGAGCCTGCCATGCCCTTGCTCTTCCCTCCTCCTCGCCGCCAGAGCCTCCTGCACATGTGAAACCGCTGACTGGTGGGGCTGCCGGCGGGGGGGGGGGGGTGGAGCGGGTGGG